TTTTCTTGACTGTCGATTTATAAAAAAAAAAAATTCCACCCCCCCCTCCCCCGCTTTTTGTTTTTTTTCACCTACTTTAAATATATCATCCGAACTGAAAGCTTTAAATTTACTCCTTTTAACTTCTGGATCGTAATTACGAAGAGTGTTTGCCGATATTTTTTTACTAGATGACGAATCAGGAGTTTGATCCCAATTTGTGTACATGGCTTGCACTCTCGTTGTCAATACGTCGACCATACTGGATGCGCTAAAAAAAAACAAAAAAAAAAAAAAAAAAATTTACACTTCACGTAAATAGATGATAACACGCCGTCGACGTTTGAACGGAAAATCCATTTTCCCGATTTTCTTTTTTGTTTGTTTGAAACTTTCATTAATGGCCATCGACACAATTCAAGAGTTTAGCGTGTGTAAACGTTCGAACGCGAGCAAAAAAACAAAAAAAATCTTCTTTTTTAAATAATTCATACAACACAACCGTGAAATTAAGTTATTTAAAAATTACATTAAATGTTTTTTTGGTAAAGGTCGAATCAATAACGGATCGAAAAAGGAATTTATTATCGATCGATATTTTCGTGATATCTCATATAGAATGCTGGTAAAAAAAAAAAAAAAAAAAAAAAACGCACAATAAGCGGTAAAAAAATAATTTAAAACTCACCGGGTATTGAAGAACCAATATAAAATGAGACCAAAAATGACGAATTCAAAAACTCCAGCCATTTTCACAAAGTTTTTTTTTTTAAATAAACAAAGGGAGGGAGAAAAAGTCTTTAAACACAATTATAATTTTTTTTTACATATTATTATTATTATTATTTCCTAAATATTTTCTAAATGTGGGGAGGGGGAAAAATAAAAAAAAAATAAAATGAGAAAAATCAAAATTTGATCGCATCGTACAATCCCAATTCAAAATGGGGGAATAATCAAATTTAAATTTTAACGTGACGTCATTTTTTTTTTTTTTTTTTTTTAAATTACAGGTTCAATTCGAATTTCTCCTCCCTCACCTTTTCCCCCTCCCCTACCCTCCCCTCTCCCGATCTCTCTACGAAAAGAAATATAAGACTTTTCGTGGAAATTATTTTTTTAAAATCGATCGTTCGACGAATGTAATTAAAAGTGTCAAGAATGTTTAAAAGAAAATTAATAATAATAATAACAATAAACACACGAATTAATTCTCACCACGTGTGTGTGCGTGTCTCGCACGCATTCAAAAACATATACAAACGCACACGCACACACGCACACAAACCCTTCGACTCTTACACATTTCCAAAAAAAAAATTTTTTTTTTTTTTTTTTTTTAAGGTCCTTCCTGTCTCGCACTTTCGAGCCAAAAGCCAAAAGTATTTAGTCGATTCAATCAATCACAGAATGATTGATTGATTGATAATTTCAGTTCAAGAACGCACACGGGAAAATATATAGAAAATATAAAACCTTGTTCTTGTACGATTCTCGATTTTACAATTAAATTTCATCATATTCCGTCATTTTTCTTTACCAGGGAAACTGTGCGTGTGTGTGTGTGCGTGTGTAAAATCTCGAACTCGAACTCGATTACAGATTTTCTCGATCAAATCTACGAAGAATAAAAATGATAAAAAGCAGAAGAAAAAAAAAAATTCGCAAACAAAAATTTTAACCTTTTTCTTTAATGTTGTTTAACACAACATTAAAAACGTTACGTAACTAAAAATAATAATAATAATAATAATAATAATAAATTTTACTTTTGTCCTAAATAATCAGCTGGCATACAGTCACATCAATTTTTTTTTTTTTTTCACATTGATTGAATACATAAATAAATTAAAGGATGGTTAAAAGTCTTAACGACAAATTCAAAGGTCTTTGTTTCCTTGACCCTACTCTTGACCAATGAAAAATAATTTCGTTTTTAATGAACTTGAGTGAGAGAGAGAGAGAGAGAGAGAGAGAGAGAGAGAGAGAGAGAGAGAGAGAGAAACGAAAAGAAAAAACTAAATTTTTTTAATGGCAAGCAAATCTCAGAATCAAACAGCGAGTGTTACATAGCGACGATGACGACAATATTAATAATAATAATAATAATAATAATAATAATAATAATAATAATAATAATAATAATAATAATAATGATAATAATAATAATAATGATGGGCATTAAATTATATTATTACAAGTTTCAAGAATTAATTATGCAATTTTATTACGTTTATTATTTTTATTATTATTCGACTACCCAAGACATTACAAGCACGTTACGTAATATGTATGCGAAACAGATACCTAAACCTGAAGAGAAAAAAAACTAAGGAAAATTTTCTTTCGGGTTTTTTTCTTTTCTTTTTTCTCCTTTGTCGACCCTCGCCCGGAAATCAAATTGCTAATTAATTAACAAAAAATAATAATAATATTAACATGGTTTTAATGAGTTACAGGTACCACTACTACTACTGCACATGTGAATACCTAGAAATTTTACAAAACGAGACAATATCATCAGAAATCGATAATAAGTAATTCGTTTAAATTAATATTTCCCGTCGATCGAACGTGATGATTCGACATATGTCTCCCCCCTCCCTCCCCCCAATTAAATTTTTTACGCGTAATTTTTTTTTCTTCTTTTATTTACACGGATGAATAAAATTTTCAATTATTACGTGCGTTAACCATTACGAACGATTTTAAAAGGGTTATCGAAAAACCGATTTCGACCATTAAATTGATACGAATTACGCGTAGACAGGTGATAGGCATCGTGTTCGAAAAAAAAAAAACAACAAATAGGAATGTAATCGAAACGAATATGGCGACTTGTACTCGAATAATAATCGAAATTTTTTATTTTCCGGGGGTTGGGGCGGGTGGGGAGAGCTATCATACACGCAGTAAATATATTTCATTTCAAAACAAAAGAAGAAAAAAAATAAAATGTTTAAAACTTTTTAAAACAAATTTATAGAAGAGACCACAACAGATTTTAAATTGTTTCTAAACCTCCTCGGTGATTTTTTTTTTTTTTAATCCTAACTTTTATCCGATTTTAGAAGCTTAACGGCATATTAAGCGGAGAGTTTTAAAAAAAAAAAAAAAATTTTATTCCACACACGCACGCACACGCACACGCATATCATATCATAACCGGAAAATTTTTTTTTTTTTTATTCAAAACGGGAAAAACAAAAGTTATATAATAATAATAATAATAATAATAATAATAATATTCGTATTAATTTTTCAACTCACGCGTGTATTGTAAAAAAAATAATAATTTTTGCAAAGCACGAAAATTAAATAAATAAATAAAACGTCCGATTACGTAAGTTAAACGTACAAACGTGTACGTATTTAATATCATCATACAATCGATTACAACTATTTTATTTTGCCCCCCCCCCCAAAAAAGGACCCTTTTGCCATTTTTTATTTTTTATTTTGACAACCGAAAAAACACGACGTACCTGAAACCTACTGCAAAACCTACTACGATAATTTCATTTAAAAAAAAGAAAACCACAAAGACAAAAAAAAAATTATTATTATTATTATTTTGTTGTTGTTGTTGTAAACAAAACAATGTTTTTTTTTTTTTTCCTTTTTATATTTCCGTTCGTTTAAAGAATTTTCCATCCAGACTTTCACCTTTTCGTTGATAAATACGTAGTACATAGAAATTTTTTTTTATTTACAAAATCAAAACATGAAAATAAGTCGTGTCGTCGTCGTCGTCGTCGTCGTCACGATTTTATTATTATAAAGAATTGAATTGACGTGCCAATAGAAAATCAAAGCGAAATAAATCTATTAAACGTATCGTGTTCTTCGCAAAAAAAAAAAAAAAAAACTCGTTTTCTATACAATATTCTCTCTTAGAAAAATTAATTAAAAAACGTATATATGTAAAAATAATAAAACTTGTTCGTTATTATCATTATTATTTTCTAACCATTTTTCCACAAAATCGAAAAAAATTTTCCGATAAAAATTCAACTGACTTTTAATATAAATACGATGATTAATTAACGATATTGTTTTTTAAAAATTTAAACTATCTAATCAAAAGTTTTCGTTTCTTTTGCCAATTTTTTTTTTTATAACTTTCTAAACGATTTCTTTTTTTTTGTTTTTCACGTATGCCTTTTCTTCGAACCTGTCTGCCTCCCCACCCCCAACCCCCGCGCACATTTATTCTCGTAAAAGGAAAATAACAGAAAAGAAAAATTTTTTTTTTTTTTTTTACGTAACGTTTTGTTCAACTCACGGTCAAAAGGCGATTTTGAATTATTTAAAAGACTTGAATGAAAAGCATCTTTTATTATTATTATTATTATTATTATTATTTTATAGATTGCCATCATTACGCGGTGGCGTGACAACAATTTTTTACGTCAACAAACTTTCATACAACAACAACAACATCATCATCATCATCATCGTTACAATATTAATAAATTGGTTCAAGTTCATTAAAAATTACATTATATTATTCTTCTAAGAAAATTAAATTTTTTCTTTTCTTTTCTCGAAGAGCGGAAAAACAAGCGAAAAAAGAAAATTCGTATTTGAATAAAATCACAATTTTCCCCTTTTTTTTTTCTTTACTTAACTTACGGCCTAATCAAAAAAAAAAAAAAAAAAACAACCAAATAATTGTTTTTTGGGGAGGGGGATGGAGGAAATAATTCGTAACACTATCCCTTTCTCTACCACCCTAATAAGTAAAAGAATAATTAAATTTTTTTTTGTTTCCCCCCCTTCCCCTTCTCCCTTTCTTATTCGCGACAACCATATGTAGTTATCGTATTACTACAATCACAACAACAACGACGACAGGCTCACATAATCGAAGGTGAAATTTATTTATTAAAAATATTTTTTTTTTGAAATCAAGGTTTATTATATAGCAATTGTTCGTCGGTTCAATATCCTAACGACATTAACTTGCAATAAAAAATAAATAAATAAAATTCGAAGGTGAAAATAATAATAATAATGTACACAATTTAAAAAAAAAAAAAAAAAACATGAAAACTTTTCACGGATAATAGAAAATTCTTCACTTTTCTAAAAAAAAAAAAAAAAAACTTAATACCCCATAAATGAAATGAACATATGTGATTGTAAAAAAAAAAAAAAAAAAAAAAAATTGAAAATAATTAATTAAAATAAAATAAAATAAATTACAAATGATTGACACACGTCGCGTTACGTTCGCCGTTACTAAACTGATACTGATCATGCAATAAAAAATTAATAATAATAATAATAATAACAAGAAAAATATAAAGAATATCGATTCGCTATTGCTAACCGTTTTATCGGAATCCTTTTCCCGTACGCGATACTACGTAAATCTACCAACGCGATCGTACAAACGACGGACATTTACACACACACACGCACACATACGCATAAACACATACACACTCGCGTACGCACGTACGTACATTCATATACGCACTCATAAACGCACCCGTGCAACTCGGAAAAAAAAAACCAACGGATCGCAAACATTTGCTTCGCTAACTCTACATATGTTGGTCAGCGATTGTTGTGACCTCTGAACTTGATGAAATAATAATAAGACAATATCATTTTACATTGATATATCTATTATTACCATTTAACGAAAACGTGATCGCTCAATGCTCTCCCCTCCTCCTCCTCCTCCTCCTCCCTCCTCCCTCCTTCAACTAACAATTAATTATTTTTCATTTGTCACATATTATAAGACGACACTGACAGTGAGAGAGAGAGAGAAAGAGAGAAAAAGAGAAAGAGAGAGAGAGAAAAACACCTGATTTTTAACAAAACACAAAAAAAAAAAAAATTATTAATAACCAATAATTAAATTTCAATTATTTTTTTTTTTTTTTGAATTGATTATTATTATTATTATTCGAAACAATTTCACAACATTAGTTTTTTTCTTTTCAATCACATTACAATAAACATTTAAATAAAAAATGTAATTAAAAAATCACACACAACAACAACAACCAACAACAACAACAAACAACATGAAAATTTTTGAATGATAAAATAATAATGAAATCAAATTAATCAGTGAAATCGATAAAAACTAATAAAAAAATAACATAGAGAACATAAATTTGACAAACGAACTAAAAAATAATAATAATAATAATAAATAAATAAATGCAAAAATCAATGATTATTATAATAATAATAATAATAACATTTTCTCATTTTTACAAATGGAAATTTTAATCGATTTGTTTTTAATTAACATGTTTCCATTAAGTGAATTTGTACCTATAAGAAAAACGAAAGACAACTTTTGCAAAACAAGGTACAAATTAATTATTTATATCTTTTCAAAACAAATATTAACAATTTTTTTTCTTTTTTTTCCTCAATATTGGCGAATGATGTAATAATAATAAAATTTACATAATACTCATTGGTTTCAATGTTGAAATTAAACTTTTTTTACCACACACACACACACACACACACAACAACAACAACAACAACAACAACAACAATGAAAAAAATTGAAAATAAAAATATATGTGTCACTGGGGAACAACAACGACAACAACGAAACAAAAAAACAATTTTCCTTTATGACTTTTTTCAAAACCGAAAAAAAAACAATAATAATAATAATAATAATAAATTACAAATTAGTTAGCTTAGTATTAATTGATTACTGTATTGTGATAATAACAGCAGCTGATAATATGCATATGTGTATACACAATCGCAAACATAACCAATAAGAAAAATAAAAAATTTTATTCGATCACTCACTATTATTTTACAAGAAACTTTGATAAATTTATTTAATGCACTGATTATATAAATGCCAAAATAATATTTTTGATTTATTTTTAGAATGTGACAAAATAATAATAATAACAATGATGATAAAATTAAAAATGTAAAATAAGAAAATTTTTTTTTTTTTTTCCCCTGATAATGACAGTCAGTAACTTTCATTTGAAATATATGTGGCATTAAGGTAAAGTAGAGAGTGTAATAGACAATAAACCAGTTACACGAGATAGCAAATAATAAAATGCGAACAAAAAAAAAAAAAAAAAAAAAAAAATTATTTTTCACTCCGATATATAAATAGAAACGAATTTAAGAAAAAAAAAAAATCAAAATTTAAAATATAGAAAACATTACGCAACGGTTATATTCACTCACCTATATTATGATGAAAATCTAATATAAATTTTTTTAAATGTCATTAATAATAAACTCAACGTAACGAACTTAAATATAACTTGTGTACAGGTTTTTTTTTCCCTCAGACTTGGTACGTTTTCAAAGGAATTACCATTGAATCATAAATGTCACACACGCACGATTTCCTTGCTATCTTCACGAATTCAAATTCAAAAAAAATTTGTGGGAAATCAAACGTTTCCATTTTACTAATAATAATAATAATAATAATAATAATAAATAAACTAACTACGATTTCGATTTTTTTAATGCATTTTTTTCCCCTAATATCGTTAGATAACAATTATTATTATTATTATTATTTATCAAAAACACACGTTAACGCGTAATTAAAAAAGGGTTAACACTCATTTCCGATAATTAAAAAAAAAATAATTTTAATAAAAGTTTATTACATGTTACACTTTGAAACTTTTTTATAGAAAATTCAATATGGCGGCGTACAGTGCTAACGTTCAAGATGGACGTCGTTAGATTCAAGTTTGAAAGCTCTCAACCGTAATTTTTTATAAATATTTTATTATTTTAGGGGGAAAAAATCGATTTTTATTGCGAAATAAATTATTTCGGTCGATGAGTTTTTAGGTGGGTAAATTTTTTCGTTTGATTAATTCCTAGTTATTTTATAATTATTTTTTTTTAAATGTCGATCCTATGTGAATTTCAACGCACGTGTTGAATTTTACATATATTATTATTATTATTATTATTATTATTAAATTTTTCAAAACTTTAGCGTTTGGTATATGAAAATATAGGAACCCTATTAATTAAAACAAAATGGATGGAAGAGAAAAATCATTTCCAAGAGGAGGAAATAAAATTGCATTTGACAAATCGAGAAAAAATTCATCATCTTTTTCAGTAAGAAATACATAATTTTTTTTGTTTTTTTTTTTCAATTGTCTCACATAAACTATTTAGGTGTGCTCATTGCGTTAAATTAAAAATTTTCAGCTATTCAAAAAACCAAAGAGTAAAATTAAAAAAAAAAATAAAAAGGTGAAAGAAGTCGATGAAAAGAAAAAAAAACCTAAAATATTTAAAAAATCAAATAGTTTAGAAGTTAAATATGTTGAAGAATTAAATGCTTCCCTTGTTCAAGAGGGTATGATACTTTTAGGAATTGTTTCCGATGTGTCTGATAAAATTGTCAACGTTTCACTTCCCGGTAGTTTAAGGGGAGTCATAACCATTCCGAACGTTTCAGAATTTTACACATCTTTAATACAAAACATGAGCTCACAAAGCGAGGTAAAAAATGTTTTTAAAAAATTTTCATTTCCACACAAACCTATAATGTTAGTATTTAAATTATTTTTAATTAATTATTATCAGGTTTTAGGTTTGACTGAAATTTTTCAACCTGGTGACATTTTACCAGTAAAAATCTTATCAGTGTCAGAAGAATCGAAATCATTAATGGTTACAAGCGATCCGAAAATGATAAATTCAAATTTGTCTTATGATGCCATTGATAAAGATTTGATTTTAACTGGAAATGTCAAAAGTAAAGAAGATCATGGTTTCATTATTGATTTTGGTATAGATAAAGTTCTAGGATTTTTAAAGTTTGACAAGGTACAAAAAATTGATTTTATTAATGTTCATCACCTTAAACAAAATGATACCGAACCTTTTGTTATTATTATTATTATTTAAGGTTAAAGAAGATGGCGAATTAAAAGTTGGTCAAATTATAAGAAGTTCGGTTATAAGTTGTCTCAAATCTCCAGGTTCTTGTTCAGTACAATTATCAACATTAAAAACAGATTTTGAAAAAGCTTACATAAAACTTAACTCTTCAGTATCATTGTCCTTTCTAGTACCTGGATTTCAATTTCAAGTTGTCGTTACAAAGGTACAAACATTGTCAGTTAATTTTTAATTTATTTATTTTTTGTCATAATCGAACTTTATTTATTTTTCATTCGAAATTTTAGGTATTGCTTAATGGCGTAGAAGTCAAATATGGTAATGACGTCAATAAAAAGGGATTCATTTACGAAGATAATTTGCCTATGAAATTTCCAAATTTAGAGAAAGTTAACGTGGGAACAGAATATATTGCCACGTTGCTATATGTAAAACCTTTGGTTAACGTTCTTTATTTTAAAGTATTACCTAAAAAAAAAATAGAATGGCCTTTTAAATTTGGAGATATTGTCAGCGGAAAGGTAATTTACTTTTAATTTTTACGTCATTTTTTAAATTGTCCTCAGTTTTCTTACGTAAATGCATTACTACAGGTCGTAAAAGCCAGAAGGAGCGGTTTGGTGGTTAAAATCGTCAAGGGAATTAATGTCGCGAGATGTTTTATTCCCATTTCTAAATTGAAAAATAATAAAAAAATATTGGAAAATGATAAAAGTATTGAAACTCTTTACCCCGTCAACAAAAAAATCCCTCAAATACGATTAGGAAGTCGAAATTACATGAAAAGGCAATATCTAGGAGCAACGGATAAGTACGTCATTCATTTTTTTCCATACGTGGTAGGATATTGAATTTAAATCGCACGTGCACATTTTACATATAATATTTTCCAGGGCTTCACTACAAGAAAAATATTTTTCGGTAACGGATTTAAAATGTGGCGAAATAATTTCGGCAAAAATCCTTTCCTTTTCGAAATATTCCGTTAAGTTAAAAATAGGACAATCAATATTGGGAACTGTTGCTTTCAACGATTTGACTGACGTTCCTTTGAAAAATCCAAGTTTGAGATTTAAAGTCGGACAACAAGTGGTTGCAAGGGTAAAAAAAAAAAAATTTATAAATGGAGGAAATTATTTCAATCCAAAAGGTTGAAATCGAAAAGTAATTTTTTTTTTTTTTCTCCTCCCTCAAGGTAACGGAGATAAATCCCGAGAGCAAATTCGTACGTTTGACGATGAAACCTTCTCTTATAAAAGAAAAAAATATATTAATGGATTTAAATTTCGAAAAAAATCATTTTTACCTGGGAGTGATCAGTAGGGTTTTACACGGTAAACTCATAGTGAAATTTTTCAATGGCGTAATAGGTATCCTACCGAAAAGGTTTACCAATCACCTAGATGGAGGATCTCTTAAAACGTATTTCGCAGAAGGACATCTCGTGAGTTTTCCAAAAAAAAATTTCAAAAATTTTGCCTTAAATTATTATTATTATTATTTATCGAGACAAGAAAATCGCAAACAATTTTATCATTACGTTTACAGATAAAATGTTGCCCGATAAATGTAACGAGTGAAAATAAATTATTATTATCGTTATTGTCGTCGACCGAAGGAAGTGATCTTTTAAAAGTGGGCAAAAAATATAACGTAACCGTTGTGAACAAAACGGAAAATGGTTTTCTTTTAGACGTTCAAGTCAACAAGAAAAAAACCTGTCAAGGTATCTTTTCGAACCTGAAAGAAAATTTTTTTTTTTTTTAAATATTAAATTTGATGACGAACAAACTCCGTTACAGGTTATTTACCCAAACAACTGTTGAGCGTTCATCAAAATTTAACGACTCCTTTGCTATCGACTTATTTTCCCAACGAAAAATTTTCCGCTTATTGCGTTTTCGCATCGGAAACAAATGGTTTGCCAATAATGGGAACACTAGAAATTTTTCAAAGTCTTTACGAGGTTCGAAAAATAACAATAATAATAATAATAATAATTTGTCGGGAAAAAAAATATCAGAATGTTTTTTTGGAAAAATTCTCAATCGTTTCAGGGCAAAACGGAAGAAGATTTTAAATCTTTACTCGCGGTAAATTCCGTCCTACCGTTTTTATACAAGAACCAGAGCCTGAAAACAAATAGGAAATTTTTACACAATTTGATACCGGGAGAAATGAATTTTTTCGTCAGAGTCACTTGTGAGGATTTTCCGAAAGAATTCAAATTAAATAAATATCAATTATTGTACGGTAAAATTATGAAAATCGTCGATCATAAAATGGACGTTTCCATCAGAGTGTCCGACGTGTGGAATAAAGATTTCGACGTGAGAATTATTTAATTTTTTCAATTCGATTCGTTTTGTGTCGATCGTATAAAATGTAATTTATTATTATTATTATTATCGTCAACAGAGCAGCTTGGAATTTTTGGATTCGTATTTGTTTACAATGAAAACATTAGTAGAACGTCAGAAAAAGCATTTGAACGCTTACAGTGAAAACGCAGAATTTGGTCGATTCGTTACCGGAAAAATTGAAGAAATACGTACGAAACATGCGATCGTTAAAACGGAAGACGGTGATTTGGGTTTGGTTGAGGGGAAATTTGAAAAAAATGATCAAGTCAAAGGTCACATTTGTTGGATCGATGGTCCAGAGCAAATGATTTACATTCACGCTCTCAAATCAGTAAAAAGTTGGTTTTTTAATTGCGTCAGTGTAAAAAAAAAAAAACTTTATATAAATTGACTTTTTTTAATTTGTTGCTGTCGTTGTTGTTGATTTTCAGAAAATGTCAAAGAAGTTTACGAACCGAATTGGGATAAATTACATGCGAAAATCGTACATTGTAACGAAAACGTGATTGTGGCTAAGCTCAAGGGAAAAGGAATTGGAAAATTTGCTTATTTGCCTCAGAAAAGACACGTAAACGATTTGATGTTGAAAGAATGTTCATTTTCTGTGGGAGAAGAAGTCGTCGTGTGGGTGACCACGTATGTTTTACAATTATTTAAACATTTGCAAACCTCACAAAATATTATTATTATTATTATTATTATTACTTTTTTTAAATTTAAAAAAACGTTATAAAATTTCAGGAAAAATTCAAAATTTTTACTGGCTTTGGATGCTCGAATCGTTGCGAGAAAAGAAAAATTATTTTTGAAAAACTCATCGCAAAAATTAAAAGAATCCATTTTATCGTTGAAAAGAAAATTGGAAATCGAAAAAATTGAGCGGAACGAAAAGAAAAAAAAAACGTCGGATTCGGACGATTTGGAAATCATCGAGTCGAAGATTAAAAGTAAAACTGACGCCCCTCATCAAAATGGTTTTCCCAATGGACACGTTGGGGATGATGATTATGTCCCGGAAATAAAACAAGAGGTTGACGCCGAATCGGATGTTTTTGTTTCTACGCTAAACGATTCCGTTCCCCATTTGGAATACGACGACATTGATATCAAATCCGAAGTTGATGACGAAATAAAAAAAGTCGAGCCATCGAGTGAGTAAATTTAAAATTTAAAATTTAAAAAAAAAAAAAAAAAAAATTATTCGAATAAATTTTAACGATTAACTAACTTTCCCATATCCTTTTCGAAAAGAAAAAAAAACCGTCAACGAGGAAAAAATTTCGATAAGTTCGAGTTCGGAAAGTGACGACGACGACGACGACGACAAAGGAAACAAAACGGAAATGAACAATTCTAACGCTTTCAACGTCGGATTTAAATGGGAAGTTCTGAAAGACAAAGCTCTACTATCCGGAATTGTTTTAAATAAGAAAGAAGAAGACTCATCTTCTGACGAAGAGGTAAGAATGGTGTGCGTTTGAAACGTTAAAAAATAACATAAAAAATTCAACTCGTTTAACGTTTAACCGTTTTTGTGTTTCGTTACAGGAGGACGAAAGTAAAAACAATAAGAAAAAACGAAAACGTTTGACTCAAAGTGAAAAATTGGAAAAATCTAAAACGGAAGAACAACGTTTGCGATATATCGAAGAAAAACTCATGGATCCGGATCGCGAACCGGAAACGATCGACGATTTCGATCGTTCCGTATTGGCGAATCCGGATTCGTCTGCTACCTGGTTGAAATACATGGCCTTTCACATTCAGAACACGGAAATAGAAGCGGCGAGAACGGTTGCGAGAAGAGCTTTAAAAGCCATTTCGTTTCGAAAGGAACAGGAAAAATTAAATATATGGATCGCGCTTTTAAATTTGGAAAATCTTTACGGATGTGAAGTTAGTCGTCGAGAAAATTATTTTTAAAGTTTTCCTTTATCGTCTTTAATATTTTTATTTTTTTGAAAAAATAACAAAATTATTTTGTTGTTGTTGTTGTAGCAATCTCTGAATAAGATTTTAACCGAGGCTTTACAGTACAATGACCCTTACAAGATTCATCTTCACATGTTAAATCTTTACGGACAAACGAATAATTATCAAGAAATGGAAAAGTTGGGTAATTTCATGTTGAAGAAATACAAAGACGTGGAAAATTTGTGGTACGACGTCGGTTTGGCATATTTCACGGTTGGAAAAATAGAATCGGCAAGATTTGTTTTGCAAAGAGCTTTGACGATATTAAATAAAAAACAACGTGAGTGTCTCGGTCGGAGAAAGAGAGCAAAAAAAAGGAAAACCAAGAGGAAAAACAAAATTGAAATTTTTGTTTTTTTTTTTTTTAGATATTTTACTTCTCTCGAAATTTGCTCATTTAGAAAATAAATACGGAAGTCCCGAAAGAGCTCAAACGTTATACGAATCGATATTGGGATCGTTTCCTAAGAGGGTAGACATTTGGAGTTGCTACGTCGACATGTTAGTCAAATCGAATCACATCGATCTCGCAAGGTAATCAATCGATCGATCGATCGATCGTTCGATAGACTAGTTTAATTGGTTTTTTTTTTTTTTTTTCACTTAATTGTTTTTCAAAAGAAATAAATCATCCGAAATTTCATGCCGATAAATCATATTTACATTCGTTGTAAAAAAAACTGTGTTAGTTGGACGTATAAGACCTATGTAGATTATTTTTTACATTACGCCTCGCCTTTCGTACGTAAAAACAAATTACAGTCGCCCGGAGGATTATAAAAACTTGATCGATCAAAAAAGATAAAAAAAAAAAAAATTTACAAAATTTCAAGAGCACGCCCAGGAAAAATTTAAACGAAAAAAAGTAAAAAAAAAAATTTTGATGGTCCGTGCAAATTATTTAAGTGCGCGCCATTTTTTTTTCCTTTTCGAAAGGAAGGGCAACGATAAACCTAAAATTTCATCGATGACACACAACCCGTTTTTCTAAAATTATTTGAACGAATTTTTTTTTTTTTTTTTTACGTTTCCAGACAAGTTTTAGAAAGAGCAACGTCACAAAGCTTACGTCCGAGAAAAATGAAAACGTTATTTAAAAAATTTTTAACGTTCGAAGAAAATCACGGAACTCCGGAAAATGTGGAAAAAGTACGAGAAGCGGCAGTCGAATACGTGGAAACGGTCGGAGAAATGAATGGCGGATTATAATTAAATCACAAAATGTATAAATTAAGTAAATTAAAAATAAATAAATAAATAATTAAATAAACTATCGAGATACTGATTGAATTTTATTGATTTTTCCTTCGTCGCCATTTTTTTTAAACGAAAAAAAAATCAACGTCAATTTAAAAAAAAAAACTTTCCACCAAAGAATGCATTAAAAATTATATATATATATTCTTCGAATGAAGATGAGTAAGAATAAAAGTGGGAAAGAAGAAGCACACAGGTGCAAAAAAAAAAAAAAAAACCTGGCTACGGTAGGTGTGGTGGTTAAGTATAATGAAATACCAAAGTCGTCTTACTAAACTCGCATAACTAAATAAAAAATTCATGTACAATTTACCTACCATTCATTCATTCTCTCCCATTATCATTATTATTATTATTAGTATCAATCGTTACAAAGTAATTAAATGGTCAATAAAAAAAGAAAAAAAAAAGTCAATAATCGTTACAGTCAGCATTTAAAAAAAAAATAATAAAAAAAAATTACGTTTATCAATTAATATCATTAATAACCGTTAAAAAATTACGTAATTAATAAGTATTTTTATTTTTAAACGTTCGGGTTAAAAAATTTAAATATTTATTAATTTTCCTCCATCTTGTTTTTTTTTTTAACGAAACCCATACGAAATTTATTACGGATGTGCGTACTAAAAATTTTTTTTTTTTTTACCGGATTTTTTAATTTTTTATTCAGCCGACAACTACCCACCCAAAACGAACAAAAATAATTTTATAAAATTTTAATTAAACAGGAAAAAAATGAAACCCCCCCTCCCCACCCAACCCACCCCCCAACAATCATTTTCGATTGTTTTCATTTCGATTTAAGTTTTAAAATGTGGGTGGATTTTGGAATTAACGTGGAGGAAGAAAAAACAGAAGAAGAGGAGGTTTTAACGACCGAACCTATTATTATTATTATTAGGTACTCATCACGGTTGAGATCTTATTTGGCAAATACCTTAAAAACTACCAAGTCTTTTTTTAATTTTTTAAGTTCACATTTTTTTTTAAATAAATAATGAGAGTTTTTATTACATGTGAACGCAGTTAAAATTCCTTTTTTTTAAATATGAACTTGCTTACTTTACATAATTTTTATTCTTATTCTGTTTATAATAATAATAATTATTATTATTTAAAAAAAAAAAAAAAAAAAAGAGGAAAGAAACCCATCAATTCATACACGTCGTGTAAGATGATAAAAAAAAAAAAAAAAAGGGGGCAAATTAATCCCACGACAAAACTTAATAAGATAAAAACAACAAAATCAAAATGGTAAAATCTTCGTGAAAAGTTTACCTTGAAGCGTGCGAAGTTTAAATATATAATAATAATAATAATATTAATAATAATGATTACATGGTAATAAGTTAATTAAAACGTTTGATTTTTAATTGATTCCATTCCCCCTTACATAAGTAATTATTAATTACGTATTTTTTTTCTTTTTTTTTTGAATCGTTACGTAAAAAATTAAAAATCGCGATTAATTTAAATTTAATTAATTAGACTCACCCCCACTGACGTGATGTGGTGTTATATCCTTTTATTCCTTATCTCCAGATAATTCGCGAAGGAAGTTACGTACGTCAAATTCCAGGGAGTTTTGATTATAAATCCAAAATGGTTTCTCCAGTCAAACACTTAACCTAAAAGTACGAAAAAAAAAAAATTAATTTGAATGCAAGAAATTATCATTAATTCGTAAGGGCGACCGTTACACCTCTTAAACTTTTTTCGAAAAAAAAAAAAAAAGTTCTTTTGCCCACGTTCGCGTTACCCACGAGTTTCCAGAACCAAAACCTCATTCTAAAACAAAGAAGGAATCATCATCATCATCATCATTGCGTTCAACATAATACCTTTTGTTTACGACGTGAAAAACTCCTCTCTCTCTCTCTCTCTCTCTCGGATTTGATATTCAATAACATACATATATATAAAAATATTAATAATGATGATATTTATATTAATGTAATTCGAGTAATGTTTAGCAAATGTATACTTCCATAATTTTTGTAATTGACGTAATAAAACGTAACATTATTTTAATTTTTACGAGAAAAAAAAAAAAAAAACATTACAACCGTCATCTTTTTTTTTTTTTAATGTTTTAATATAAAAATTTTTTATGTATCGAATCCAACACAAACACACCTTACATAAATAATATACATAAATACATAGATATTTATTTAATCGTTACGTAAATAAATTATTTACACAAGATACATAAATTCGAGAATTAAAACGCGTATGTGTGTGTGTGTGTCAAATTAAATTGAAATTTTTTTTTTAAATAACCATTTGATGAGTGCGGACAAACAAACGATATAATAATAATAATAATAATAATAATAATAATAATAATAATAATAATAATAATGATGGTAACTAAAAAAAAAAATTCGATTTAATTTTTTTTAAATAACTAAAGACCGGAATTTGTGAATTTATTATTTTCAGAATAACGGAAGCCCTTAAGTAAATTTTTTTTTGTACCACCACCGGGTGGTGGCATGCCACGACGACCAGACTCTCTCAATTCCCTCTTTCTAAATTTATAAAAAAAAATTTTTTAATCCGCATTTAATTTTTTTTTTTACTTCCGAATCTAGTAGAATCATTATTATTATTATTATTATTATTATTTATAAAAAAAAAAAAAAAATTTATATTTATATGTAGGTTGCAAAAACAAAAAGAAAAAGCAAATTTGAAATGCCGCCTTAGGACCGAATCGACCTCCTTATAAGAAGTTGAAATAACGATTTAGGCATAAAATTTTTTTTTAAAAAAAAAAAAAAAAAAATTAATACTGAGGCTGTTTAATAATCGAAACCACAAAAAAAAAAAAAAAGAAGAACCAGAAGATGAAATGGTGTTGGCCAATGGATGATGATGATGCCTTGTGTGCTTTTTTTTTTTTAATTATGCAAATGAGCGTCTTTTCGTTATTAACATCAAAAATTTCTTTTTCTTTTTGTCTTTTGCTTTTTTTTTTTATAAACAAACATTTATAAATTTTTCGATCAATCGATTAATCGATTGTAAACAAAAACAAAAAACAAACCATCATAATTTAATATAATTAAATCTCAGACCCCACGAAATATTTTTTTAAAGTTTTTAATTTTTTTCTTTTTTTTGGGGGGAAGGGGGGGGGGAATAATCGTTTGTAAACGTTTCGAATTTTTTTTTTTTTTTTTTAATTTTCGATTGTGATATCAAAAATTAATTTCGGGCATATATATTATTATTAAAAAAAAAAAAAATGTTTTAAAAGTTATAAATTTGAAAATGTAGGGAATCAAGGTACGTGAAACGTTTTAAATCAAATGAAATGTAGACAATCAGATGGCTAATGTGGCACGTGGTAGAAACCTTGAAGCAAAATGTGGGCACCTTTTTTTTTTTTCTTAAAAAAAACCAGATATTATTTATTTATTTATTTATTAAAATTTAAAGCCTTGATTTAACTAAAAGTTTTTTTTTTTTTTTTGTTTTTTTTTTTTTTGTACTTTTTTTGTCTTAGACCGGAATATCTGGCACAACGTAAACGAGAAGAAGAAGAAGAAGAATTTTTTCTTTCAGTCGATTAATAATTGGCTACTTTTTTTTTTTTTTTATGGCATCAACAATTAAATATTTATCTTTGAAACAAACAACAAGTAATTGATGGCGTGACGAATTAAAAAAAATTTTCACGAAATTAAAAGTTTTCAAAGGAAATGACGATGTAAAAATTTTTTAAAACTAGTACTTGATACCGTCTGAAAGTGTTTAACAAAAAAACTGACGGGAAACGAATTCGAAAGTAAAAATACCCTGAAAATAAACACGTTCGATATTCTAGAAACCAAAAAAAAAAAAAAAAAATCTCATTTCGAAATTGTCTTTGTTATAATTTTCCTAAATGAAAACGTGGAGGGGAAGACGTTAAGAAAGGCTCGGAAAAATTTCGAAATTGACGTTTTCTCTCTCTCTCTCTCTCTTTCCCCTCGTGTAAAAAACCAGAACTTTTTATTTCCCCCCCCCCAAAAAAAAAAAACCGCAAAAAAGACGACCGCATCCATCCATTGATCAATACCGATACTCTCCTTTCAAAATTTATTAAAATGAAAATTTGAATCCGCATATGCAAATAAATAAAGAATACAAAAGAATAATCAATGCGGCGAAACAAACGATCGTGGTAGCAGAAAGAGAAAAAATAAATCAGTTTATTATTATCTCCATTAAACCGTGAAAAAAAAAAAAAAAAAAAAATTACACGTGAGGTATAATTTGCCATTATTTAAAAAATTTTTTTAGGGTAAGTTAATAAGTCACGCGGTCGGAAAAAAAATTTTTTTTTTTTTAATCTGATGTCGCCGGCCATTTTCTCCAGTGATTCGGAAAAACTTTAGGGAAATTATTATCATTATTATCATCATTACTTTTTTTTTTTTTCGAAATTCCTACGAAAGACGGTTTCCGATCGTGGAATTGTGGAATTTTAAAAAGAACAAGTTTCTACATGATAAAAACAGGGTTTGAAATGCTCCATTAGGCTCACAATCAGCTGTTAACGTGTGAAGTCGGTCACTGACCTCAATACTCCCTTCCCGGGTATTTTTTTTTTTTTTTCGACTATATGATAAACATTAAAAGAAAAACGAAAAGAAAAAAAAAAAAATTTCAAGTTCAATAGTATTATTGTTATATTCCGATACTCGCTCTCGTTAGTAGGTTTCTTCCTCACCTCCGGGTTCAACATTTTTTTTAATGCAGTTTTTTTTTCCTCCTCCTCTTCCTCCCCCTCCTCCTCCTCCTTCTTCTTCTTCTTCTTTCTTTCTTTCATTATATTTTTCAGGACCAATCTCTTCTCGATTGATCCTTACCCGGAGGGTAATATTCGTCGGAAATTCTCGAATTTCCGACGTTAATATTTAAAAAATTACTTTAATCCAATTTTTGTTCTTGTCGGT